ATAAATAAATCTTAAAATAAAAAAAGAAAGAATCTTGGATGTTCAGGTCTGTGAAGTCTCAGATGACTTTAGCCCCAGTCATAAACTGACTGTAATGGCACAGCCGTAACTAACGCCTACCTGATTATCCCCCCAATCCAGAGAACTCTAAGAAATAATAATGTTGTTTTAAGTTATCAAGTTTGAATTTGGTTTTTCACATTTAATGTGTAACTAGTACATGTACTCTCCAAGGAACACATTTTACAATAAAAGGGCTAAAGTAATAGTTTTGTATCCATGGATTCACTTACCATAACAGACATCCTACCATTCTGAAGCTGGCTTAATGAAACAGTCAAATGAGGTTCACTTGAGGTGAACCTCCATTATAGAGTTAAATAGGCAGCTCACTGTGGTTTGGAGTGTTATACAAGATAGATACATAAACTGAACCAGCATCCAACACATGACGCCATATTTTCCATAACTAGAATCCATGTAGGATGCTTCTTTTAGCATGACCCATAGTGGAAACTCACAAATTTTTTGTTCAGCAAAAAGAGAAAGCAGTAAATTGAACTTTCGAACAGATTGTTGGCAATTTGGGATTACTGTCACTCAGGCATCATCATTTTCCCTTCCTAAAGAATAATTCTCAACAACGTGGAAGAGGCACTGGGAACTACAGAATCTTTTCCTCTGTGTACTTGTGGAATAGAATCTACTAGCCAGGGCACAAGATTGGAAAATAGAAAAGGAAAGACCATTATATTCCAGAAGACAATTGCAAATAGAAGCAACAGAAAGCAGCCAAAATATTTGAAACAATTTCTGAATGCATTTCTTTAGACGCACTTAAATGTTGCTAGTAGGAACTTCCCAGTTCTTGCGATTTGTTGTATCTTTTGGACAAGGTGGAGACAGTTGTTTTACTACTAAATGTGGGGAAAGTTCAAAGATTCCATGACATTTGCTATCCCTGTTCTTCCAGCAAACAGATAAAAGCCTCAAATTACCTGCATTCAACTTTTACTTAAATTATAGAATGCCACTGTTGTTTTCCTGACCGCCTTTTAACTGATATAACACATTAATTTTTAATTCTGAAAATATATCTAAAATCTTCAGCCCAGAGAACTGTTCAATGTAAAACAAGAAAGAACACACATAATATAAAAAATGGAGTTAGGCATTAGTGCTCATTGCTGAATCTGTAATTCTGAATCTGAAATTATTTTACAGACTATATTTTTAGTACAAAGTTTCTTAAGTGAAAAAAATTAATTTTAGAAGGGAAATGAAAAAGATGAAAAGAAGTATAATCCTTCTTACTTTTAGGCATTTCCTGAAAATGCTTAAAATCTCTTCTGTAGTTAAAATGAAGTTCCTATTATCTTTCTGAGTTTTCATATATAATTTCTGAACCTATGGTTTTCATCACTATCATGTTTACACTGAAAAACATACATCATAAGCAGGAAAAAAATTAATAATGTACTCATATTTGCAGATATATTTCTTTTAGTCATCGATGAAAACTGTATTACTAAGGAAACTCCTACAACAATTTGACACCTTCAGTATGTCAGAAACATTCATTGAGGCATAGAGAAATACCTTTTCCATTGCTGTGAACATTTGCAGATCCTGGGTTGGTTCTTTTTCTCTCCAGACATTTTCTCCTTTTTTTTTTTTTTTAACTGATGATTGCATCATGGATCTCCTGGACATCTGCAATAGGAAGAAAGAAGTGGACAAAGACAAAGAATGAGATTTCAGAACTATCAAATGTCAATGAAAATAAAACAGTATTATACAGCAAAAAAAAATTCAAATAATTCAGCTAGTATCCTTAGTCTTTTAAAATATATTTATTAATTTATATTCTTATTCTTGAAATGTTCTTAAATAAAAACTTTTAAAGGGAGACATTACTCATGTTGACTTTTCTTAAAAATCATAAAAATAAACTGATATGGCTTCTTGACTACTACACTATTTCCTTTCTATTTCTTTTATAGTAAATGCTTGGCTTCTAAATTTTAGGGTACTGATAAGATTGAGAATTGCCATTCCATAAGTACATGTTAGTCACAATGGTAACCAGTATAATTAAGCATTTAAAACTACACATTTAATTTTTTCATTAAGAAAATAAACTTGTGTTTGGAACGGTCAGCAAGTAGTAGAACATTTAGTACTATTTACCCTCCATCTTGCACAATGTTGCTAATGAAAATCGTTTTCAAATATAAATAAATGGAATAAACAACACATCATAGTGATGTAAGTAGTATAATACAGAATGAAGATGGAAACAGGTAACAAGGTCATTTCTACCTCTTCACAAAATAACTTACTATGACCTGTTACTAAAAAATGCCTGGGGTGTCTTCCCATCTGGCCCCTCAACACAATATCAGGCTTTTCATTGAATGACATTTGGAGCATCCTGAGAGTACAAAGAATGTATAACTATAGGGTTTCATTATCTTTTAGTTTCATAACAAAGAGATAACCTTGTTAACATTTTAATTTATATCTTCCTGGTGTATGTGTGTATAAAATCTTTTCTGTATAATGAAGAGTTATATGCTGTTTTGTACTTGTTTTTGTTGTTACGTAGTTATATTTTCCTTCATCATCAAATAGTCTTCTAAAATTTGAAAAATGTGACTAAGGGAGTAGAGAAGATCAGCAAAACCATGTGAACAAATAATTAGAGGCATGGTCTTTAAATATCAATGTATCTCTATAAAAGTTAATATGCAAAAGTGATAAATGATTAACTTATATATACCCAGCTACTTATTAACATATATTTGTTAAAAGTGTTTATTAAATTGAAGTAACATGAGTTCATTACATTATACACAGATTTTAGGTATATACTTATATACCAGTACACACACACACACAAATATATATATATATATTTATTTATATATATATATATACACACACACATATATATTATCATGATCATTATCAAAAAGTCTAGTTTCCATGTAGCACCATACAATTTACCATTCCAACACTCCTTCTCAAGTTAAAACTTTCACATCACAAAATTATATTTTTCTTTGTATCACTTAATGAAATTCTCTAACAAATCTACTTCCCCCTAATAGTTACATGTTTTTAAGTGACTAAATAATGTTATTATAGAGAATTATTATAATTTAATCAATACCCTAGCATTGGACATTTAAACCATTTACAATATTTCATTATTATTAATACATGTATCTTGCAGATACTTGATCATAAATCTTTGATTCTTCAACAGAAATGTGCAAAATTTGACATACCCTATTCTTATATACATTAAAGTCGCATGAATTTCAATTCTTGGCTTCTTTTGAAACTCACTTTCTTTTATTTGCAAATTTAGGGGGTTGAATAAGAAATCGATCTGCTCCAATTCTAAAATACCCAAGTTCTAAACATAGAATCTTATCGAGGAAACAATTTGTGAACTAGTAGAAACGAGACATAATTAATAACTTTCAAGTAAGTATAAAGAGGATACTTGTTTATGTGGAATGAGCATATACAGAATCATAAAGAGAAATTGCCTTTCTCAACTATCAATTTTACATCAAAATTTGGGGGACCAGTTTTTTTCCTGTTAAATACAAAAAAAAAGAGCATTAATAGCTAAGATAAAAAACAAAGTCTTTAAGAGTTTTTTGTATTCTGAGGGTGCTGCTTCCACACAACTCAAATCAGTTGAAAATTGCTATCACATCTTTAGAGTAAGTAGGATATTTGAAGTTGTCTAAGGCCTTAGAATCTAATAGGTGTTCATTTTTATTTTGCTGCCTTACTCAAACCTCTCAAGAATTAAGGTTTGTTCAATTTTACTAATTCGAACCTACCCCATTTAACCCTATGCCACTTGGTTTTCTACAATTTTGTGAAATTTCTAGCTCGTTTCTTTTAAAACCAGAAAGCCTCAGTCCATATGTCTAGTCTAACCATGCAATGAATAGTTTTTATCTTCACAAACATCAACACTTCTTCAAATGCTTTCCATATGTTCACATTAAACAAAATGTGAGCTTCTTTTTCTCTTTAAAGTCTTTAAAAGATACAGCTTTTAAGGAGTAGGTGAAAAATCAGAGTGAGATTTTTGACACAGAAGGTGAAGGAAATCTGATAAAATGAAAATTTGAATTTCAAAATTCAAACGGACTGTAAAGTCTGCTTTTCCTAAGAAAGTATTTGTAGCAAGATAGCTAGTAGGAGAAAACTCAGTCAGCGGTTTGGTTTCTTAACTCAAAAACTGACACAAAACGTTCGAAGGACATGCAACCTGAAATACACTTGAAGCACAAACTGAAAAATACTTCTGTACATCTACTTCCTATACCCAGGTAACAAATAACTTCCCTACTTTCCTTTTTCTTTCTTCCATGCATTAAGCTTTTCAAACTTACTGAAAACGGCTGCTGGGAGGCTGAAATAGTCACTAAGGACAAAATGGTAACAACTCGGCATAAGGGCTCAATCCAGGAGGGTCTCAGCCAGCCTCATCCCTCCCTCTGGGAAAACAAAGCGAACAAACTCTCCAAACGCCCCAGGACTAAGGGCATTTGCTGCAGAGGGCCAGCACCCTTACACTTGTTCGCCCCATCTCCGGAACACGCGAGAAAGGGTGGCTAGCGGGCTCAGGTTGACTCTCGCACTGAGAGGACTTTGAGGACCCCTTCCGTCTCGGCCAGGACGGGACAGAAACTTTGTGTGTGAGACATTGACCTGCGGTAAATTTGCAGCAGGCTTCTGAGACAACTGAGGGTCATAGACACTTCGCGACGGACTTAGAGGGCAGCCGGGGCCCACTCAGCCTCCCGGGAGCCCGCGAGCGGCACGCCCCACGGTCGGGGGGCTGACCCGGAAGTGTTCGGCTGCGGGGGCGGGGCGGGGGCGCGGCCAACTGGCGTACGCGCGCGCTCCCCGCGGAACTCCTACCGGCAGCTCAGCGCTCTCCCGGAGGCGCGCCCGAGCCGCCGCGGCCGCCGCCAACATGGCCGAGACGAGCGAGGAGGTGGCGGTGTTGGTGCAGCGGGTGGTGAAGGACATCACCAACGCCTTCAGGAGAAATCCGCACATGTGAGTCGCACGCCGGGGGCACCCCCGCCTCCTCCTCCTCCGGGGGTCGCCGGGGGCGGCGGGGGCGGGGCCAGCCTAACGCGGACCGCGGGCGGCGGCGGGCGGGTGCTGGCCAGCGAGCCCGGGTCTAGGACGCGGAGCGAGGTCGCGGCCGGACCGCCGCCCGCCGCGGTGGGGCCCGCTTTCCGCTACTGGAACGCTCTCGCCGGCGAATCCCTAGAAGTGACCTCAGAAAATCAAACAGAGCGACTTTGGCTCTCATTCCCACCCCTTTTCCAGGAGTTCACGGAAGTCGAAAGACTTCATCCCGGTGTGCCCGCATCTGATGTCCCTTAGGTACCCGGCACATGCTGTGGGTCTCTGTATCCTTTGTAAACACAACTCTTGAGATTCATCCCGGGATACGGTGAGCGAGGGTTACGAACCATCTAATCCCCAAGAAGACAAAACCCTCAAATTACTAAATAGAGGTAGTTTGAGGCTGCTGTCGACCTTCCCCTCATTTGCCGGAGATCGTCAAGGGCCTCCGATAAATCTTACTGTGTTTTAAAGGTGACCAGAGCATTCTCAAGAACGTGGTTTATGTAGGTTCTGCATGGGTATGGTGTAGAGGGTGAAGCCTCCGCACTTTTTACCATTAGCAGATTCATAGCTACGGGGAGCATGTTAACTCTTTTTTAATCCTAACACTGCCGCCCTTTTAAGTAGGACACTACGGGATTGACACACATACCACTCCTCCTTTTCCACTTTAACTTGGAGTACTCTGAGAAGACAAGCAGAAGAAACTGTATTCTTTCTGACACTTACACTTTTATGTAACAAGTGAAAAGGAAGCTATTAAAATAAGGAGAGATGTACCTTACACAAGAGTAAGGAAGAAGCAATAGTGTTGTCCTTTTCTCACCCCTCCTCCCACACTCTCTCCCCAATAAAGTAACATTGAATCTAATTTTGCATTTTTTCACTTGAATTGCGTGTGGGGTTTCATTTAGTGTTTTGTTGAAGCTGGAACGAACGAATTACTATTTTTAAGCATTGTAAATTCTAAATCCTTAAGCTTTTTTGTGTAAAAGAAGTGCTAAGCCTACATCTAAATGAAGTTTTCTTTTTCTTCAAGGCTATGCTTTTATAAAAGAATTACGAAGCCCTCAGATGGTTCACTCCCTTGTGGCACTCAATCTGAGATCTGCAACTGTGCCTCATTAAAAACAAAATACTGCTGGCCTCAAAACACACCTGCCACCTCTGACAGCATCCACTTCCTTTTCCCTTGTGACTGCTGTCTTTTCAAAATGAGAGTGTTTGGAATGATTTCCTGGCAGTAACCATAGTGGGTACTGGACCTTCTAAAGAATGCTTTGATGCCTTGTTATGTATCAGCCTTTGAAACCTCTGTTGAGAATGAGCACTTTAGTGCAATTAAGAGAAATCCTCGAAAAAAGTTGGACAAATGAAGGGCCTTTTTTCTCATTACTGATGGGTTTTTTCTTGAAGAAATTATGTTAGAAGTTCGAAGTCTCAGAAGTATGGTGGTCATCTTAATGATTGAAGTAGGCTAGAAAAGCATTAGTATTTTGTAGTTGAAGAAAGTAAGATTGAGTGTTTGGTGACTTGGCAGGTTGAAACAGTGCAGTTTGGAACACATCCCATTTCCTCTAGATCACACTTACTGAGATGCAGAAAGGACTTTACTCCCCTTCCAATCATATGTTTATGGTGAAATCTTATTAATAGCCTCTATCAATGTGCAATTTATAATTATTAACAAACATTTGGGTCTTTTGAAATTTAATCATTTGAAATTATATATAAATCTAAAAATATAAATAGCTTAACTCATTGTTTAATACTAATCTTCATCCTTACTTTAGTATGCCCTACACCTTCAATAATATTACTATTTACCTTCAATAATATTACTATTTATCTTTTTAAACTTGTTATAATTTGGACTATTCAAAATTGTCTGTACTTTTCCCACATTCTGGCCCTTTAATCTCCAAAATAAACTATGTAATTCTAATCAAAAGAAAAAAGACAGTGACTATATTCATAGTTAGTACTTAATTGCGATTTTCAATAATACAAAAATTTTTTTCATTTATTTTTTTGATTGTTTTCCTGCAAGCACAAGATTGTAATTTTATTAGCCAACAGCCACTTGCTAACATATTGTCTTTTTCCAAATACCTAGCCAGGAATAGTCAGAGATAATGAATTTTGTTTTATTTTAGGATTTTGTTATTGGTGGGTGGGGATAGGTTATTCTCCCTCAGCCTCAATTTCCTCTTGATCTTGTGAGGCAAAAAAATCATTTTAAGCATGGCTGTTACTTAGTTGCCTCTAGACAAACAGTAGACTTACCCTGATACCTGTGTCTCTCAGAATATATTAGCAAACTGAATGATGAATGTGAAAATCTTTATAAATTGAAAAATTCCATACATATGTTGTTTGTGTGATTATCTTCTAGAGAATGTTATCATAAAACAACTGAAGCTTTGCCTGGAGATGGACACAGCTTAAGGCATAAGCCCTGTGCTAATGTGGAGAAACTGTTTACACTGTAATTAGTATCATGCCAAAGATCTCATCCCAGCAAGTTATTTTTTTACCACTCTATTAAATCTTTATTAGGTTATCACTATTCATGAGGTACTGTAGGGTACCAAATTTACAGTATAGAGAAGGAAGTATAAAATACAGTTCTTACTAAACTCAAGGCACTTCCAGAAATATCTGTGATGATGGGAATGTTTTCTAATATAGCAGCCACTTGCCATTTGTAGCGACTCTTACATGCTTGAAATACGATTAAATGCCAGTGAGAAACTGAAATATAATTTTGATTTAATTAATTTACATATAGTGGCCACATGGTGTAGTAACTGCTATGTTGGCACAGTACAAGATTAGATGGAGACCTAAGTCCTACATACATGAATGCTTCCAAAAGCATTAACCTTCCAAAGCAATTTATGATAAAATTAGACCAGCGGTAAATAAACAAGTGTTCTGTGAATCTATTAGACATTAAAGAAAACTGGACATATCTTGGCCAGGGCTGTTACAGGATTGGGTTTTTGAACTGAACTTTGAAGGTTAGAAAGGGTTCAGTCTGGAGAGGGTGTCAAAGACCTCATTAGGGAGCAGTACATTGACCAAAAGCAACAAAATATGATTAAAAAACATAAAATAGGACCAAATTATGAAAGTCTTTGACTATTTGACTGTTTCATTCATTCTATGCATGCATTCAGTGAAAGAACATTGACAAATGCAATACTGGTTTCTGGGCACGTGGGATTAGAAGCCCCCTGTGAACTGATGAATATGTCAAACATGGTGCCTGCTCTAGTGGAACTTTAAATACATCACCCAAAGAGTAAGAAGGATACTTTGAAAAATTTATAACAGAGAGGCCTAATTTAGCTCAGGAGGACAAGATAGAGTTGGTCAATAAAAAGACAATTGCTAGACAGTGGTAAGACCCTAATGAAAATTTCTGAATAAGGGATTAATAATGAAAGATATTTGTAGATTATCTGTAAATTGGACTGAAGAATAGGAAACCACAGTCTTAATATACCAGATTATTGTTTAAACAGTTACGTATTTGAATAGTAAATAGTAGTGATTTAGTGATTTTTGTAGCTCTTTTCTAAATAAGATCAGTAATAGAATTTCAGTAAAACATAGTAATCTTTGAACTGAAAAACCTGAAGGCTCTGAGATACTTTAATTGTCAGTAAAGTTTAATTTTTCAATGTGGGAGATCTGGTCAGTATTACTTTTATAAATAAGTGACCCTACTTTACTTGTCTAATAATATTTTTCAAAAGTGCAGACACATGTCCAACCATATCTGAACATGAGAAACAATAAGTAGCAGTGTTTTGTGAGCCTTGACCATCATTTGGAAGCTCATGGATCCACAATTCAAAGCAGAGCATTCAGCAGCATGTACCATGCTGTGTGTGAACCTAAGTAATGTGTTTGTTCATTTTATGTTGCTATTTGGTGTTAATTCTGTTTCCCTTGTAAGATTACTTAATAAGAAAATAATGGAGGTGTGGTTGCACATTCACTGCAATCATTAAAATTGTAAAAAGTAGCCTCCACCCCCCTCCCCATGGCTATCACCAGCCACTGAGCACGATTTTGATCCCCCACCAGGGTGCTAACCCACATGTCACAGCAGACTTCTGTCTCACCCTTTGCTCCCCTCAGTAGTGTATTTCAGTGGATCTGCCTCTTCTTCTCACCACTCAGTTTCTGGTGAATCCTTTCTCTCACACACCTCTGGCCTGCACCTCAGTTCTTGTATGCATAAGTAGAATAAATCTTAAAAAAAAAAATGTAAAAAGTATACAGGAAAAGTTTTAATGTGCATTAGGTTACTTTTAAAAGAATTACAGAAGATTTTGTATAGGATAATCCCACTTTTACAAAATACTTTTTGAAAAGGATTTATATACAAATATTAATAGTGATAGAAGGATGATAAATGATTTTTAGTAGGTGTTTTTCTTAAGCTTTCCAACATTTCTTGTATAAGAAATTAAAACTTAAATAGGCAGATGTCTAGAAGGAATTAATTAAATTGTGCTTGCTTTTGTTGATGTCTTTATCTTCACTTTTCTTTCAAGGGTCTTGGGCTAACTATTCAAAGGTCCAGTTGTTAACTTAAGTCACTAGCAATACAGCCCTAGGTAATCTTCTTAACCTCAGCATACCATACTCATTCTGATTAAAAAAAAAAAAAAGACACTGGAGGAATGAGGTCTCTTCTGTTTATAAAGTAATTCTGGAGTCCTATTCTAAATTGTAAAAAAAAAAAAAAAATGGATTATGACCTGAGGGACTAGGCAGAGAAGCTGGAAGTCAAACACATTGTTATTTGAAAACTTACTGACCTACCTAACTTTATGAAATCTATCTTACATTTTTAGGAAGCAGCAAAGCAGTATCTTAGGGTCAGATAACTTAATAAAAGCTTGGCTTTTGTTGCCTTGGCCTCCCATTATCTGTTAAACAAGGACATTTCTTTTTGACCTTGGGCTCTTAACAAAATTAATGACATACTTCACCATATTTTATGGACTTTGTATTTTACCACATTCTCATGTTCTCCTTATTGTATCATATACCTTTCGTAACAGGCAGGGTAGGCACTATTTATTTTTCTTGTGTTTCAGGTGATGGGAAGTGACTTGTTAAATTCACATTGGTAGAACTGAGACTTGTATAAACCCCTGAACTTTGGAAAATTAAATACTGTTGTCTTTACATCCTACTAACGCTCCGCTTTATTTTTTTCTCCTATGCTTTACATGCTATGAAATAACTGTTTCCATTGTCTCTAAAAGCAAATAGCTGCCAGTCTTCTCAATCACAAAGTTAAATAGCTATATGAGACCTATTGTTCATTTCCTCCTTTTCAGAGTTACAATGCATTTCTACCATTTTACAGATGAGGAAACAGGTCTGTGGGATCCAAGTGTCATATTGACAGAGTTGGGACTTAGACCTAACCACAGTGCTAGAAGGAAATTAGAAGTAATGTCCTTTGAACACTGTCACTGAAATGCAAGGATAATCAGTTTTTAATAGTAGTTATTGAACACCTGCTATGTCCACAGCATCTTGTGTTACTATTTTTTAGAAGAATGGTAGTCAAGTAAAATGTGTGTGTATGCAGATAACGCTTTTTTTTTTTTTTAAAGATTTATTTATTCATACAGAACTGGGGTACAGGCCAGAGATGCAGAGGGTGAGAGGATTCACCAGAGACAGAGTGGGGAGCAGAACAGGCAGATTAATGAAGTACACTGCTGAGGGGAGCAGCGGGCGGGTCAGGAGAGGTCTGCCTCGCCATGTGGATCTCCTCCAGGGCAGGCGGGAATCGAACTCAGGCGGAAATGGCTTAAGCTTCTTAGTGCTGTGCTTTAGCCCGCTGCGCCACCAGGGAGGGCCCAGATAACGCTTTTATATTGTTGTTTTTAGATATGGCAATTTATTATCTCAGAGAGACAGAATTGAGGGAGCTGGTTTCAGAGCCAAATCCCCCATACCCCAAAATCATATATTGTGTCCTTCCATTCCCATAATGGGACTTCTGGTTAGGAAGGTACACAAAAGTAACCACATGCTTCCCAAACGTATTGTAAACACAGATGCAAATAAGTAGTTAAGCATTTTATTTTTGGTAATAGTGAGCAAGGCAGAGTTTTACATTGTGAATTTAATTTTTAAAGCCCCCCTTTGTGCCCTCACGAGACTTTTTATTGTTTTTTTTTAACAGTCACATTACTGATTTTTACTTTTCTTTGACATAAGTGGTTATTAGCCCTTAGAGAAATTTCTTGAAATAAATTTCACTGAGTTTTTTTTTTATGGTAATTCTAGTTTAATTGTTCTAATTCATTTAGTAAAACCTAAACAACAAAAAATACCAGTGATTCAATAAATATTTATCAGACATAGATCTAGATCTGCAGTTGATTGTCCTAATAGTTAATTAGATAACTTTCTTGCTAATGCCACCAAATACAAAAACAGTTTGAAACACTGGACTTTTAGACAGCCTCTCAGCATTTACCCCATTCTCAGAGATTTTTATTTTAATGAAATAGCAAAGTGATACCATTTTATTATAGATACTGACACAACATTGGGGCAAAACTGTCTGTTTTATGCAGCCTAAACCTTGTTTTATTTGTTTGCATTTTCTGAACATAACAGTACATACATAGTACATTGTAGTACTCAGAAAATGTTTAAATAGTATTGATATGGTATATACAAACACCTCTCAATTAACAGTGAGCTTTAGGTCTCCAGATTTTCTCAGAAGTGAAATTAACTTGGAAAAAGAATTTGGTTAGGGACTTGTAACACCTAGAGTAACTAGAATGGTAGGGCTTCTGATGATCAGTAGAAGTAGATTGTTACCTCTGAGCTATCCAGTTCAGAGTTTCCAGGGCCAATTTTATTTTAGTTCCATAGCTTCCTACCAATTTATGGTGATGACTTAACAGAGAAAGAGGACTTCTTAGAATCTGTAATTGAACAGTTTCCCCTCTTTGCATGTATCAGTTTGCTCTCCTCTTGACAGGAGATAACAGAAAGATAACAGATAATGTCACTTATAATCTGTGAAAACCATTTCTGTTCTTTAAAAAGAAAAAAGCACACATTTAAAAAAATCTCTTTACCCTTAAAATATTGTTATGTCTGAAGAAATTAGTTGTTCATTAAGTAGAAGATACACTGGTTTGAAGGTGTGAGAAAGAGTATTTCTTATAGGCAAGTATTCTTTATGGTTGTATGCAGGTTTTGCAAACATTGTGGTTTGTTTACTGTGTAAGTGAGTTGCCCTACATATTCTTTCTTAAATCTCTCTCTGTAATGTAAATTTTAAACTTCAGTTGAGGATATTGAAGCGTATAGATGAAGCCATAGGTAAGTTAGAAATAATCAAATTCTGAAACATACTTTATGTTAATGTTTACTAGCATTTTTTACTAAAAGGATTATAAAAATTATAAAGAAAAAATGAACCAAAAGTCTCATTGTCAAGATTATTTTTCTTGATAATTTGTATTTCACATATATGTTGTGTGTAATAAGAAAGCATAAATAGGGCCCTCCCTGGTGGCGGCAGCGGGTTAAAGCACTGCACTGAGAATCTAAAGCCACTTCCGCATGAGTTCGATTCCCGCCTGCCCCGGAGGTGACCACATGGCGTGGCAGACCTCTCCTGACCCGCCCGCTGCTCCCCTCAGCAGTGTACTTCATCGATCTGCCTGTTCTGCTCCCCACTCTGTCTCTGGTGAAGCCTCTCACCGCCCCTGAGCCTCAGGCCTGTACCCCAGTTCTGTATGCACAAATAAATAAATCTTTAAAAAAAAAAAAAAAAAAGAAAGCATAAATATATTTGCTAACATTTTTTTTTAAAATAGAATTAATACATTCAAGTGGTTAGAAAATTTAAACTAAATAAAAATAATATTCTCCCCCAGAAGACTTTTGTAATCTTCCCAAGGAATTTTTTATGCATCTGTACCTCTTTTTAAAAAGTGTATAAAAGGTTTTATGTTGTCCTCTATTTGGCAGCATTTTGTTGTTGTTGCTGTTCTTTTATGTACATCTGTTTTGGGCCCTTTTCCATAGCAGCATATGCAGAGCCATATTTATCAGTCTTTTATTGATGCACACTTAGATTGTTTAGTTTTGCATTGATACAATGAACTTTCTGTTTATATATATAATTTTTGCATAGGATAATCTCTGAGCAGTGGAATTGCTCAGACTGTGTTTAGAATTTTGAAGGACTTCTTCACATTTCTATGTAAAGATTAGATAATTTCCATTCTTGTCTACAGAGTATAGATAGAATAACATTTTCCCCCATACTCTTCTTAAGTATTAACAAACTTAAAAAAAATTCTACCAGCCTTATGAGTTAAATAATATTTTTTAAAAGGGAAATATGTGCAGTTTTTAAAAATACTCTGTGGGATTTGAAAATTTTTGCAAGAAGCTAGTATTATCTTTAATTCTTTTTTATGTTTTATTTATTAAGAGATGAAATTGGCCTGATCCCATGTCCAGAAGCTAGATATAACCGGAGTCCCATAGTCCTGGTTGAAAACAAACTTGGTGTGGAGAGTTGGTGTGTCAAGTTCCTTTTACCTTATGTCCACAACAAGCTCCTTTTGTACAGAACGAGAAAACAATGGCTGAACAAAGATGGTAAGTACGAATTTTGTCCTCCTCTTAGTTTTCAGTAACAACTTGAAATATAGTAGGAAAAATGTTGTCAGGGTTTTTGCATACCTAGATTCTAGTTCTGGTTCTTTGATTAACTACCTAGGTGTGTGCATAAGCTCTCTATCATATAAAGGATTTAGATTAATTTGTAATTTTCAGATTTTATATCCACAGTAATACAATAGAAGATGCCTCACCCAGGGTGCCAGGCCATTTCCTGATACCAAAGCAGTTCTGATTTTATCTGTTTATATGTTGGGATCATCTGTAAGATTTATATGAAGAAAGTATTCTTGGACTAAAAAAAATAAGTTTGGAAGTCACGGAAGAAGTACTGTAATCCCTATAAGCTCAGGTTTTTCTGGCTTCTAACTCTCTAGTACTTTGGGACCAATAGAATTCATGGTTCTGCCAATTCAATTGAGCTAATGTTGGTGTATTGGTGGGAGTTATACTACCAGCTCAGCGATTTGTGAAGGTGTATTGCCTTGTGAATTCCAATTCCAGTTGAGCTCTGACCCTTTAATGTCTAATACCTATGATGAAATGAGCAAAAGAAAGCTTTCTTTGATGCCTCAGCAAACTTCTCATCCCACCTAATCTTTTTTCTCAGTCCCCCCCCCCCATATGTGATATTAATTTTCCATGTATACAAATTCCGTTTATCTTTTAGGTGAAAGTGAGAAATGAGGTTTCACTTTTTCAGAGGTAATTCATCTAAGATCACGTCCTCAACTGTTTTTATAAAGCTCCCTCCCCTTACCACATACAGTAATACCTTCAAAAGTGGTCGGTATGTCTTGTGGATAATTTCGAATAAAAACTTTGTTTCTTAGAGAATTTTAATTACCGATTTGGTGCCCATAGCAAGGGCTTACACCAAAAGCTATGCTAACTTCTGTAGGGATAAACTGACAAATAATACATGTTTCCTTTACACAAGAAACTTACAGTTGAGTGAGAAACTATCTTTGTGGAGAATAGTATTGTTAAAGGTTTGTCATATCAGTTTTCTTGTATTCTTCTCAGCATTGGCCTTAGTAAGGTGTCATACTAAATTAACATTTTCCCCTGTTTAGAGTCTAATTTGAAGATTTAATGTAAAATGTTTCTGTTTTTTTGTGTTGTGATTGTTTCATTCAGTAGTCTAAATATGTATTTTAAATGTAAGGCTATGCCTAAGTTCATAGCATAGCTTAATATGGATACAGTTTTTAAAAAAAGTATATATTTGTCATTAGAATCCTCTTTCGTGTATGCAAGATAACACCATATGAATCCATCAAGATAACACCATATGAATCCATCCCAAACGAACTTGTGTTATGTATGTTCTGGCACACAGAAATGTATAATTGAGCCAATACACAACTAACTTTAGGGGGGGAGAGTGATGATGTTGTAGAGAAGAAACAGAATGAATTTCAACACTTCAAACGCTATTGTTTCAAAGCATTAACTCTTGCCTTTTCATATATACTATCCCAACCCATATTCCTGAAGCCGTACAAGCGCTTCCTTTTTTCTGTTTCTTGCCTTTATGAGCATAGCTCCTCATCACGTAGTTTTAGTTTCTAGACCTAGGAAGACCCAGGCAGAAGATCAGATGGTTAAGCTTACCCATGGATAGCAAATGAACTTTGAAATCCAGTACAGCTCTCCATGCCTACAGAAGAAACTTAAGTTTTTCAGTTTCATTTTGTGCCAGGGGTGGGGTTGAGGGAGATAAGGACAGTATAGTTTAGTGTAGTGTCATACACAACTAAGGTATATTATTGGTAAAAATGGGGAAATCAATTTCTGACTTGACAGAAAAGACACCTCAAAATGCTAACTAATGAGTCACGTTTGTGAACTGAAGCAGAGCATAGCAGTACTAAAAAAGAACTTTAAAATATTAAGAAAAAGTGGTTAATTCATGAAAATATTGTGCCTTAAGATAAGTTTTATAGAAAATATACATATAAGCAAAGTGAGCAGAGTTGGTCTAGGAAGCTGACAATGTAGGAATAATTTCAGAAATGTCAGTCAATTGTGATTGACTGTCAAAATCCAGAATATCCCTGAATTATGTTGTCTATAACTGAAAGTGACCTTTATCTTTGGAATAGTTTTTTTTTTTTTAAATCAAATTGAATATGTGCTTTCATTAAATGCTCGATTCTCTTGATGCTTGGGAAGTTTGTATTAGTCAGGGTTCTCCAGAGAAACAATCAGTAGATACATATTACAAAGAGAGAAACAAAAAGAGCTATGACAGTAAATTGGCTCATGTGACTATGAGCAGGTGAAGCTGCAGAAAAACTGGTGATGTAACCTGAAGACATAAGAACCAGGTGAGCCAATGTTTTAAATCCCATTCCAAAAGCCTGAAATATATTATGTTCCTAAAGGCAGGAAAGCAATAAAAAGGGGTGAATTTAGCTTTTTCTCCTTTAGTTCTGTGCAGGGTATGAATAGATTGGATGATACACACACATACACACACACACACACACACACATTGGGAAGGGCAGTCTGTTTTATTGATTTTATTTTACAGATTCAAATACTGTCATCTAGAAACACCCTCATGGATACTTTTAAAAATAAGGTTAAATGACCAGATTTGATAACCTGGGCACCCTGTAGCCAGTCATGTTTAACCAAAACTGACCATTACAGCATTCTTGTTTAATTACTTAGAGACTGATGTTATTTGAAAGGTTGCTGTACTATTAGCCATATTTGGTGTGGGAAAGAAATGATAACTAATAATGGTTTTTGAGAAATTCATGACCAAGAATATTAAAAAGCAGGAAAAGAGTCCACAACACTGTCTTCCTCCGGGTGGCAGAGTTCGTCCTGCTCTCTGTCCAAATATGCACTTCTGTTCTTTGGTTCTTCCTTCTTTCCCCCAACCTGTGTTCTCCATAACTGAACTGCTTGTTTAAAAGCCATTTTCTGCTCTGTTTCTAATTTCTCATGAGACAAATGTTATTTCCTCATAGCTTAACTACTCCATTTTCAGTCTGTCTTTAAAATCCATGTCCATCATGCTAAACTGAATTTTGAGATATCAGTTGTTTCAAACATTTGCCAGCTACATATCTTGGAAACACAATTTGAGAGATGTTTTCCTGAAATATAAACCTGCTCCTTTTATTTCATGATGCCTACACATTAAAGGTAGAATCCAAACTGTTCAGCATAGTACCTAAGGGTCTTCACAATCTATCCCCAGACTATATTACCAGCCATATCTATGACTTTATTTTCAGCATCAGAGAGAGATTGTAGATTCTCAGCCCCCATATTGATGCTAGCTCACAAATATATTTTGTCTTGTGTAATGTTTTTTTAAATGGTTCTTAATTAGTGGGTTAGTATTTAAAACCAGGCTGAACTTTTAAAGTTAGGTTGAAAAATCAGAAACCTTAGGTATTTAAGTTTCTTACAGCAACAATTACCTGAGTCTAATAGTTTTCTGGTTTTCTTGACTAGGCAAGCCTACCATAATTTACTAGGACCTCATTTACTTCAGACACTGAAGCAGTGTGTCAGTTGCTACTTAACAAATCTGTCGTGCTTTGTGACTTTGACATTTGAATCCTTGAAGCATTTAAGTTTATATTCACTTGGTACATCCAGCCACAATATACACAATTCTGCTCTTGGGTTTTGCTGTGAGTCACACAGACTTCCCAGTAAGTGGCAGAAGTGGACTCTTGGTCAGCAGTATTATTGGCTTGCAGGGCAAACACCCTCTGATGAACTTAACATTTATTTAGATCAGCTGTCCTCTCTCTCATAGTCACAAAATGAAAAATGAGAACTTAGGTATTTTATGTGCTTATTAGTTTTTCCCTTATACTGCTTTATATTTTTCATAGAGGATGAATCCTTCACTTATGGTGGAGTAGGAGAATTATATTAAAAATTCAAGCAAATAACAAACAAGTAATACTTTTTAATGCAGCGTCAGAGACTAAATATGGATTTACTTGGGTAATATAAAATGGATGTGAAAAATTGTAGACATCTAAAGACATTCCAGAGACTTCTCATTACACATGAACTTTTCCACATACATTTAACTATCAAGTATTTTGTTGTTGTTGTTGTTGCTTATTCTAGGACTTTTAAAAGGTTACAATTTCTCTGTAGAAACTTGCCTAATTCTGAGAGTTAAGTTGCCGCGGACCAGCGCAGCAGGAGCAGGAGACTTGTTTCAGGGATTGCAATTCTGGCGCAGGGTGGACAAGGATGAGTTTGAGTGACAGACAGACACGACTTCTAGGAGTGCATATCTGAATGTAATTTATTTTCAAGAGTGCAGAGCATTTATACAATTTTTCTTGGCAAGCAAATATAGGGTTACAATGATTCTTTCAATGGAAGCATGACAGATAATACATTTTTTTATTGTTTCTGAGATATCGTCAGGGGCCCGAGACCAACCTGGGGCCCTGAGAAACCATTGTGTATTCAAGGTTCAGTGGTGCTAAACAAATGCCCTATCTATCATTTTTGCCTTGCTCTCTCCATTTTTAATTGCTCTCTCCATTTTTTTACAAGCCACCTGGTATACATGAGTTAATAGACTTAAAGATTGTAGCAGAGTTTCTCAGAATTAAATTAGTATCGAGAACAGAGGAGGCTGCTACATTCCTTTCAAGGGTATCTTTAGAACGAAGAACAGTGTTCATAACATTTCTTTGGTTTAGTACGTTGTGTGTCAGCAGAATCAGGAAACAAATCAAAAGTTACAGTGACCATTTGAGAATCAGCCATTCTTCTATTCTTGGAGGGCCACGTATTCCTCCCTCGTGCCTGGTACCTTGACCGTGCCAAGCTCTAAGGATTTCTCACTTAGGCGCCGCGGGAGGGGACGTGGCATTGAGTGACATAGAAAATAATAGTTTCTGGTGGTAAGTAGCACTGGCATTTCGTTAAATATTTTGAGTACGCACTATATGTCAGTTATCTTCGAAGGAATGGAATGAATGTCATTGCTTACAACATTGAAGTTGATGTTATCCCCATTTCAGAGATAAGGAGACTTAAGTTCAAAGATATGCACACAGTCAGTAGGTTCTAATCTACATACACAATATGAATTTAAGACCTATGTTTTACTGTTCTTCTGTGCTGTGAGTAGATATCAAACTTCTTTTGGGCAGGGGTCATATTTTTCACCTGCATTTAGTGAATAGGTAATTTGAAACTAAGAGAGGACCTGCCTCCAAAAAGGTAGTTTCATTAAGAAGATAATATTTATACAAGGTTAATAATAAAATAATGTTACTTTCAACTAGGTAGAGAAGAAGAGAGATGCTTTTTCCCCCCTTTGTTAGATATTGTCAGGAATTTTTGTATTTATTGCAGAGAGAATAGCAAACAGGTAATGGTGTGTTAACGTCTAAAGAAAGAAGGCAGGAAGTATGGTTAGGGATGGAGGGTTTGGTTCTTGTGGAGTGTAGCGTGTGAAGGGAAAATAGTTGAAGATGAGGTTGCAAGGAGATTGGGATAGGGATCTTTCTGGTTTTTTGCTGTAGATGCTCTGGGCTGGCTCTTACATGATAATCTTTTTGAAAACACTATGTCAAATTCCATGTCTCTTTACCTTTGCTTATACTTTTGAATTTTTTTAGTGGGCAAGATTGGGTTTTATTTAGCATTATAGTAATTTTCTCAGTCCCAAGGTGCCAGTTGAATCTTTGCATATCGTCAATACTGGGGAAATTTGTGGAATTAAATGAATAGCAGTATGGAAAGCTGCATTTATTTTCTCTGGTAGATATTAAATTAGTAGCAAAACCTGCTAAAAGAATAAAGAGGTTAATTAGATAATTCTTAATAGGCATATCATGCTTATGCATGTAATGATTTATAATGAGGAAGATTGAAGTCAAAAACAGTGTTTGCTAATCCTGCCTTTATTTGGTCATTTATTGAATATTAAACTCAATAGTAGTGAAATCAATCACAGGATCACAATAAATGTTGATCTCCTTTGGTAAGTTGGTTGCCAATGGAATAATTGATTTTCTTATTCACTAGAACACATTTAAATGAGTATAGGGAAATATTTACATGTATTTGTTCTTCATTTTAAAAACAGTTTATCTTTTACTTACACACTAAGAGTGTCTCAATTATTTACTGTAGATTGCCATATAATTGAGTTATTAAAAACCGTCTGCAGGGCCCTCCCTGGTGGCGCAACAGGTTAAAACACAGCACTAAGAAGCTAAAGCCACTTCCACTTGAGTTCGATTCCCACCTGCCCTGGAGGTGACCACATGGCATGGCAGACCTCTTCTGACCCGCCTGCTGCTCCCCTCAGCAGTGTACTTCATCAATCTGCCTGATCTGCTCCCCACTCTGTCTCTGGTGAAGCCTCTCGCTGGCCCTGAGCCTCTGGCCTGTGCCCCAGTTCTGTATGCACAAATAAATAAATCTTTAAAAAAAAAAAAAAACAGTCTGCAAATACTGAAGCAACCACACACATACTGATTGGTTTGGGCAAATTGCTTATACTATCTAATTGTCAGTTTACCCATATGTGAAGTGAAATAAGAGTATCTTATTTGTGAGAATTCATGAAATAATGTAAATAAAATACTTGATACTGTCCCTGGTACATAATATTGCCAAGTCAGCATATCAGTTATTATTTTGTGAATTTAAAATTTAATATGCTTGGTATAGGTTATGTATACACTGTAGGTTGATTACCTTAATTCTAGACTTCTTTATTTTAGTAAAATGAAGTTATTATTGCTAATTAATACTTATTTTTTTCTATTAAAACTTATTGAACTTACTGGATTATATAGAATAGCTAATGAATATAAATAATCTCTTCATGAGACTAGAAAATGGTAAACAAAAATGAAATGTGCACATTAAAAAATATAAATTAAATAGAAATAAAGTACAACTTCTTTGCACTTTTAGAAATTTTAAAAATGCAATTATTATATGTGAGAGTTACAGGAACATAACTATACTTTTGTTATTCTTGGCAATATAGATAGATAGAATCGATTTTGAAGGACAATTTATACATGCTCTATATGAACTATACTGATACTCACACTTTTTGACAAAGGAGTTTTACTCCTGAAATACATCCTAGAAAAATAATTTATGACACAGAAAACATGTTTTAAAATGTTTGTAGCAATATTATTTTTAGTAGTAATCAGAAAATGGCCTAAAAAATGAAAAATGATAGTATATTAAAGTAGGGCATTGTTATAGCATACTATAGCAATATAGGAGAGTGTTCATAAAAATGTTATTGAATATGCAGAAGAACACAGTATACATCTATCATTGCTTTAGTATAAAATTTATGTAAGAGAAAAAAAAATCTTTGCAGGGTAACATAAATGAATTGTATTAAATTGGATTTTTTTCTTCCATTTTGAAAATTTGCACTTAGAATATTTGTGGAATTAAACACATTGTGATAGAAATATTTCTTTTACTTAGTAAATATTAAATCAGTACCACAACTTACTAAAATAATGAAGAGATTAATGTGATTATTCTTTATAGGCATATTGTCTTGTAATGTTATTTCAGTATCAACTTTTTTTTTTTTTTTTTTTAGATTTATTTATTTGTGCATACAGAACTGGGGTACAGGCCAGAGACGCGGAGGGTGAGAGGATTCACCAGAGACAGAGTGGGGAGCAGAACAGGCAGATCGACGAAGTACACTGCTGAGGGGAGCAGCGGTGGGTCAGGAGAGGTCTGCCACGCCATGTGGTCACCTCCGGGGCAGGCGGGAATCGAACTCATGCGGAAGTGGCTTTAGATTCTCAGTGCTGTGCTTTAACCCGCTGCGCCACCAGGGAGGGCCTCAGTATCAACTTTTAAATTATGAATGGAAAAAAATCTTGAATATAATCTTCATAGCCCTAACAGCCTTAGAACAGGTATATGTCATTAAAATTGTCTTTGTATGAAATATGTTTATATAGAGATAAATACACATGTGTGCACACATACATACACATACATACCTATATACATATATAGCATGCACTCACAAACACAAAGGATCTTAAAAGAGAGGCCAGACTTTAAAAAGTAGTACTTTTTTTTTAATATGACTTTTCTTTATTTTAGAATTAATAGATGTCACATGCACCCTGCTGCTTCTCAACCCAGACTTTACCACTGCATGGAATGTGAGGTATGTCATTCTCTCTAGTGATAAAATGAAATTTGCAAACTTTTGAAGATACATAAGCCCTTTAGATTACTACTTTTTGAAAAATAAATATAAACCATATGTCCATGGCACTTATTTCTTCTCTCCACTTTTAAAAATTCTAGCATATACTTTGTCTTTGTGTGTTTGTGTCTATACTCTGTGAACTTCTTGCCTGACACCAAGTTGTCATGTTGAATTACAGATACCATTTAATATATGCTTTTATTTTCTTTCATTTTGGGGGGATGTATGGGCAATCAGTATAATTGCTTGGATTGTAAGGCAATGGATAGTATGTTTGAGAATATGTATGCAGTGCATTGGAAAGTGTGGAAGATTGTCAGTTTTTGTCTCAAGTTAGTCACTAATACTTTGACTTATGTGGGCAAATGGCTTAGAATCTAGCACACAGTGTTTTGTAAAAGCATTACATATTAATATATGAAGTACTTTATTTATGATTGTTACAACTTTAAACACAAAATAGTTACTAGGTATCTTAAAATTCAGACCAGGTTTATTTTTTCATTGACACTTTACATTGGAGCAATCTGTTTGATTTTTCAAAGTTCCTGGTATCTCCTAAGCCAATACATCTCTTAGAGGAAAGTAAGATACAAATTATAGATAAAGTGAAGTTCCTTTAAATACTTCATTTTAAATTTTCCTATAGAAAGAGTTACAGATTAAAGCTTTTTATCTTTAAGATAATTTAAACAATAATTGTCTGTGTAACTTAAACAAGGTTATTACATTCTGAGTTTGTGTTCTATAATAGCTACTGAATTTTGTACTTTTAAAAATTAAGTACTCAGGCCCTCCCTGGTGGCTCAGCGGGTTAAAGCATTGCACTAAGAAACTATGCCACTTCCGCATGAGTTCGATTCCCGCCTGTCCCGGAGGCGACCACATGGCATGGCAGACCTCTCCTGACCTCTCCTGACCTCTCAGCAGTGTACTTCGTAGATCTGCCTGTTCTGCTTCCAGCTCTGTCTCTGGTGAATCCTCTCACCCTTCGCATCTCTGGCCTGTACCCCAGTTCTGTACGAATAAATAAATAAATCTTTAAAAGAAAAAAAAAAAATTAAGTACTCAACCCTTCCTGGTGGTGCAGCAAATTAAAGCACAGCACTGCAAGCTGGCTGCAGCCACTCTGGTGCCAGTTTGAGCCCCAGCCCAGGGGGTGATCCACATGGCACAGCAGACTTCTTCTGACCTGCCTGTTACTCCCCTCAGCTGTGTGCTTCGTTGATCTGCCTGTTCTGTTCCCCACTCTGTCACTAGTAAAGCCTGTCACTGCCCCTGCCCCTGTACCCCAGTTCTATATGTATAACTAAATTAATCTTTAAAAAATAATAAAAATTAAGTATTGGGGCTGCCTGGTGGCACAGGGGATTACGTCTCAGGACTATGAAGCAGTCCGCAGCTACTGAAGCATCCATTTGATCCAGGCCAGATAGCTGACCCACATGGCTCAGGAGGCACCCCCTGTCTTGCCTCCTGCAAGACTCTCCTCAGGAGTGTGTTTCTGTAGATTCACCTTTTCTGCTCCCCGCTCTGTCTCAGGCGAATCCTCTCACTACCCCTGCACCTCTGGCCTGTACCCCAGTTCTTGAATGCATAAATAAATTTTTTTTAAAAATAAAATAACTACTATTGTGTCTTTAAATTATCTTTTGAATAACAAATATTTAAAATAGAAGGAAAATATATAATGAGACATAGGCTTTAAAATTTCATTTAATTTTAGAATTGAGATTTTTCTTTATTGGACATCTTGACAGTAATTAGGGAATAGGCCAGTGTTTTTGAGTGTCTTGTTATAATGTGGGAACCACACTACAAATTTATTACACAGTATCATTTAATCCACATGATCCTTGATATTTATTCATTCATTCATAAAGCACTTGGTGATTACTATGTTTAGGTTATAGGCACTAGAAATAAAGCATTGAAGAAAGTCGAAATCTTTTTGCTTGTGGAATTTTCTATTTTAGTAGAAGAGGGAAAGCAATAATTAATAAGTAAAATATATGGTACATCAAGTACAGTAAATACTATATAGACAAAATGGGAAAAGAAAGTGGGGAACACCAGAAAGATGGTAGGAAGAATAGTATTACAGTTTTAAACAGGGAATGTCTAGTAGAGACTGGCATGAAATCAGGGGTCAATCTCTGGATTCTGGGGTATGAGCATTCCACTAGAGGAAACAGCAACTAAAAAACCTCCCAGTCATACCTAAAGTGTCCCTGAGTGTTCTGGGCTAGCAAGTAAGTCTGTGTAAATGGAGTAGCATGAATGAAGGAGAGAGTAACAGGAAAGAGTAACAGGAAATGGGTTAAGTCTCATAGAGCTTTATAGATCTTTGTAAGCTGCTGCAGAATCTTCAAGGTTGCTAAGACAGAAAGACCTTGAAGATTTTTGAACTGAGGAACAGTATCTTCTACTGTTTTTCCATTTGCATGGAAAAGAAGATTGTAGGAGTGTGGGAAATAACTAGGAAGTTATGAGGTAGCCATGGTAGTTTAGATGAAAGCTGTTAATGACTTGAAGTCGAGCTCCACTGTAGGAGTGGTGATAAGTAGTAAGATTCCGCCTTATTTTATAAACTGTGAGCATTTTATAAGCTGATTTTAAAGATACAGATAATGCATTGAATATTAGAGAAAGAACAGGGTCAATCTTGAGTCTGGCTTTTGGCTTAAGAAATTGAAAGGATGGAATTGCTATTTACTGATAATGGATAATCTAAAAAAGGAGCAGATTTAGATGGGGTGCTGACTGCAGTTCAAGATTTTACTTTCAAGCATACTAAATTTATATACATGTAGTTGTGTATGAGTCTAAAAGTTCACGAGAGGTCTGGGCCTAGAATATGGATGATACTCAAAGCCATTAGATGGTTTGAGCAATATTGCCAAAGGAATGAGTGTAGATAGAAGAACAAGTCCAAACACTGAGCACTGGGACACAGGTTTTTAGAGTTGTACAGTCTAGTATCGTAACCAAAAGCCACACTAGTCTCAACTGAGATGTGCTATAAGTATAAGCTACACGTTAGATTTCAAAGACTTAAGTACCCCCAAAAGTATCTTATAACAGTGTTCATGTTGATTACATGTGATTTATAATATTTTGGATATATTGAGTTAAATAAAACAAATAGTATATTTAATGTAGATGTTAAAAAATTTAAAATTACATATATGGTTCACATTTGTGACTGACATTATATTTCTATTGGACAGCGCTGTCCTAGAGTTTTCGAAATGAGGAAGAATCAGCAAAGGAGACTTTAGGAAGGTACTATACACTTATAACTGAGCTTTCTAAAGGATAGAGACTATATCTTTTTTTAAAATTTGTTTCCTTAGTATCTAGTGCCTGAAACATAAGAGATAGTTTATTTACACCTGGGCACTGGAAATAATTAAATTCAATAAAAAAGAAATGAGAATATTAAAGTGGGAGTACCATTTTTATTCATGGACTCATTATTCCTCATTATTACAAAGAGGAAAGAGTACATATTTTTTACATATGTATGTATATATACAACACAGGTATATATACACACAGTATTATATGTGTATATATTATACACATGTACTATATAAATATAGTATGTAGTATGTTTAATATGTATATCTATACTATATATAATATGTACATTGTATATTCTTAAAAGCAATGTAGAAGAAAGAATCTAGCCTTAAGATCAATAGATCTTAATCTTGATTAACCAGTTGGCAGTTGATTGGATAAAACTTTAACTTCTCGGTAGTATTGGTGTCTTTATCTGTGAAATAAAAGATTTCATTTAGGTGATTTTTATTGAATCTTTTGAATCTTTGACTATATATGGTTTGGTCTTGTGAGGGGAAATTGTTTTCTAAATACAACTTCAGTGATGTTAATAGCAGTTGATTTTGAAATTTATTCTAGCTAAGAGATTGGTAACATTTTGTGCTAGACTAATAGGAAATCTAGATTCCATTGTGGATATGTGTTCTGGTAAATTTTAATTTTGTATTAATGAGATTGATTTATATATGAAAGTATAGGACCATAATACATTTTGAACATAAATGCAATAAGCTTAGGGAATGAACTCACTTAATACTAAATACTTTATGTTTAATTGTTGGTGTATTGCTTCTGTAGTAACTCTGGGAAACAATATAATGCATATAACAGATGAGTAGTTCAATTTATATGTATTGTGGTCTTACGAAAAAAATTTGCAGGAGTATGTTTTTGAGCTAATCTTACATTTCTAATAAATGATACATATAATTTAAATCTCCAGCTGAGTATTTTTAAAAATCCTTTTTTGACTTTGTATTTGTTTTGAAACTTGGGAAATTACTTGACAAAAATGTTCAACTTAATAATAATGTCCTATTTTTATCAGTCTGTGGACTTAGACTAAGCAAAATGTTTTTGAACAACTAAAATAGCTGATACCAAGCTCCAGTGGTTCATGTCCTTTACTCATGGCAGATTTGATGTCTCTTTCTGACACTTAGTACTCAGAGACCTTGAGCAGATTACTGAATTATCCATGCTATAGTTTTCTCACTTATAAAATTGAGATAATACTAGGTTGAACCATATGACATTTTCATTTGTAAAGATCAAAACTCATTAATTCCCAGCACCCAGGTGTTAGTTTTTAACATTATTCATTAATAAAAGAAATTGGACATATTAGAGAAATGGATGATTCTAGGGCCAAGTCTGAAAATTTACAAAATGAACACGGAACACCCTATAGAATGAGAAAATAATAAAGTGCTCAAAAACAATATGGTGGAAGTATGTCAAAGGAAAACAAGAATCACTGAAAAGGCTTCCAGTGGCCAAAGCTGGAACAATTTAAGCAATAAAATAACATAGTATTAGATTATACCCAAAGTATAAAATAGAGATCTATAATCTCATATTGACATAATTAAATAATTGAATAAAGAGATTGGAAGCAATAAAAAAATCCACATATAGAAAAATCCCAGCTTATCTAGATGATCCTTAAAGAGATAAGAGTATGGCCTTCCCTGGTGGCGCAGCTGGTTAAAGCACTGCACTAAGAAGCTTAAACCACTTCTGCATGAGTTCGATTCCCGCCTGCCCCAGAGGAGATCCACATGGCGTGGCAGACCTCTCCTGACCCGCCCGCTGATCCCCTCAGCAGTGTACTTCGTCCATCTGCCTGTTCTGCACCCCACTCTATCTCTGGTGAATCCTCTCACCCTCCACATCTCTGGCCTGTACCCCAGTTTTATATGAATAAATAAATAAATCTTTAAAAAAAAAAAAAGAGAGAGATAAGAGTATAACTCTTTTAAGTTTGACAGAAAGGACATACACTGCTAGGTAATAAAGGTCAAGATCAACATTGATAAGTCATACTGATTGTGCTCTACTATGATGTGATAACAATGCCACTTGGTTTTTTCTTCCTCCTCAAAACCCATAACCCAAGTCTAATTATGAGAAGAAACATGTAAGGTGTATGATCAGTACACCTCAAAAATGTCAAGCGCATTTTTAAAAAGTTTATTGGAACCCCCCCCCCCCATGGAGACACCATAACCAAGTATAATCTGATAACCTGGATAGGGCCCTGGGTTAGAAAAGGGACATTTAATAAAGACTAAGTAATTCTGAATAAAGTATGTACTTCCAATAATCTATTGATCATGGTTCATCAGTTGTGACAAGTTACCATTATAATGTTAATAAGGGAAATTGAGTACAAAGTACCCACTGATACTTACTACTTTTCCATAAATTTAAATGAGACTAAAATGAAAGCTTTCTAAAAAAGAAAAGTATCATCAACTTTATGTGGTTGATATAATACAGATTGTGAAAATTGAATCCATTACAATAACTTAAAAGTTTATTAAACAGGATGACCACTTAATGAAAAATGCTTATTTTTAAGATTATGTAGAACTATGGGGGTATGAGCAAATTATAAATTATATGTGGAAATGCAGAAGAGAAAATTCAAAAACTAAAATTCTAGTTTTGTTTAGAACAATGAGTGAAAGAATGATCTTGTTCCCCTTACATCTCAAGTATAACCGCTGTTGTGGATGTGTAGTTTGTGTAGTTCCAGCAAGGCACAAAGCAAGTTCTCTATGGATCTGGGCAGATGGGTAAAAGGGGAATCCTGGACCCCACAGTGGCTTTTTCACTACTATCCCATTTGTAGTGGGGTAACCAGGTGCAGGGCAGGCAGGGAGGCCTGGGGGCCAAGAGGTGACAGGCTTCTTAGCCTTGGGTGAATCTTCACTCTTTCTGGACTCTGGCTTCTCGTGTTCTTTCCGCTGGTCTCCACTGCACTCTGTCACATGGTCCTGTGCCATCTTGCTCTCTTTGACGCTGCCTTTATATATGCTCAGTCTCTCGGCTCAGGTGTGTACATTTACACAAACCCACACTATAATCCAGGTGTCCGCCATCAGACATACATGTAAGGTCTCAGGTGTTGCCATGCTAATGTCAGGAAGGTGGGAAAAAAACTGGTAAGCTTGCATTTACTCTGTATCTTGTAGTGAACTAATCCATATCAAGTCCTACTTAGGAAACTAGACCAATTCTTGACTGGTATTAGACTCCCTGCAGATGCTGTCAGACCTCATAAGTTTTGGAAATGAGATAAGTCAGGAAACCTTTTGGCCTTGCCCCAAATAGGTAACATTCCACTGTTGATTTAAGAGCTGCTTTTTCCTGCCCTATTTATTGTTTTGGTATTATGGGAATACATTCTTGATTACTGTATGACATTTATGGACTTTTTTTTTTAAACACTAGGAAATTCACTTCACAGAGAGACTATATTTATAGCCATAAAGTATGTTTGGATATAAAGGTGAAGTTATTGTTCTTGTTCTTTCTTTTTCAGAAAAGAGCTGATCCTCTCTGGCACTTTAAATCCAATTAAAGACTTACATCTGGGAAAACTGGCCTTAACTAAGTTTCCAAAGAGTCCAGAAACATGGATTCACAGGTGTGGTTAATTTACACCATGGGCTTCTTTCTTAGGATTCAGAATGACTGGAGTAAAATAATACAAACTGTAAAAGCAAGTCATAGCTTGGTGTAGAATATGAATCCTAAAGTTAGGTTACCTGTGTTTAAATCATTAGTGGTACCAATGTAATCTTTGGTAATTATTTTAACTTCTTCAGGCCTCAGTTTTCTCATTTGTAAAATGGAAATAACTACACCTAATTCAGAACTTAATTGGTTGCATTTACATGAGATTATGTATATAAATTTTGATACAACCACAGTACCTTGCACAAAATAAATGTTCAATAATAAATTTAAGCTTTTATTGTTAGCTACTTGAAGCTGTTGTGAAGATTATATTTAGATAGTCACTTATAGTAAGAAGTTTGGATTTTATAATGCACTGAGGTATGTTCCTGATAAAAATGGTGGTGGTTGTTAAAATTAACCAAATAAGAGAACTAGAAGTAGCTGAGGTGATTGGTACATAGGCTGAACTAATGTTGCTAAGGCTTTAAGTGCAAAGAATTATTAGGTTAAAGGCCTGAGGCAGGTAGCCAAATGCACATAAGCATTCTTAAAAATCTAGATTGTCTGAAAGCAATTCCATGTGAATCCCATGCTTTTCTACTCTGTTTTGACTAAAATGAGTTGTTATGGGCTTACTGTTCCTGTGAGTAGAGAAGTCCCTGAAGAAGTCAGTTCTCAGTTCATTCAACCACTTACAACTTTTAAAAAGTCCTGAGCATTTTAGGATCTTAAAGTCAGTTCAGGGTATCTCTGTTATAATTCTTGCCTTTAGCTAGCATTGCAAATCAGCTACTTCTAAACCATGTAGTCAGTTGTATTTTCTTTTTTTTAACCAGAAATTGCTATAGCAGGCTTTAGAGAGGTGTATGACTTTGTGGTGGCAGGGTAAGGTAATTAATATATATACAGTCATCATTCTACTGGTTTGTCTAAGCAAAGACATTAGTGGTTAGAGGCATGTTTTTAGTGCTTTTCATTTAAAGGTACTATGCTAATGAAAATTTTAAGTAGACAAGGGGGAAAAAATCTGGATAAACACATTTTAAAATCTCCTTGATGGCTTAACTGATTATATTGTATTTGTTTCCTTCCAGATTTTGTGCAATAGACAGAAATTTTGCTTAATGAAAGCTGTCATAATGCAGCTTCTTGTTTGCAAATATGCATAAAATGAAGCATGAGCATAGAATTAAATATGTGAACTATGGCTTTCTTCTAGTCATAGTTACCAGTCATTGATGTACTTTCTCTCACACACACACTGATTCACAGTCTAATTGTCTCTATAATCCTGACCAAATGATGGTGTAGAGTTGTCATTTTGGAACTGATAATTTCTTTGATGAGCTTCAGTGTTTTAAAGTTTTTCATCTTCTTTCTCCTCCCCCTGCCAATATTTGCATTGCTAAATTCAATTAACTATTCAGTAATTCAGTGAAGCACCACACTCTCCCTGCCGAAGGAAAAAACAGGATTTATTGACAGGGATTATTTTGCACTGGCAGGAATAGAAATGAAATTCAGAACAAAAAAAACTGATTGTTTTCCTCTCTGGTTCATGTTTCTTCATTCTCTTTACCTCATGCCACCTGTGAATAGGCGATGGGTGCTACAACAACTAATTCAGGAAACCTCCTTACCTTCCTTTGTGACCAAAGGAAACTTGGGAACAATTCCTGCAGAAAGGACACAGCGACTAATACGTGAAGAGATGGAGGTCTGTGGTGAAGCAGCAGGGAGATATCCAAGCAATTATAATGCTTGGTCCCATCGCATCTGGGTTTTGCAGCACCTTGCCAAGCTAGACATGAAGGTAGGACTACTATTGTATCTCCCTATGCAGACTCCCTGCCTGCTCTTTAAATTTTCTTGTAGTAGTTCCTCCTAAGAGGAGCTCTAAAGGAGGAAAGTAGAGCAACTACTGGCCCAGCAGCCTGGTGAGGATCCTGACAACTGATACCTTCAGGGAAACTCTGGCAATTAAAAAAGAGTTTGCATTCCTCACCAGGATGGTTTTTATTTTCTAGAAGCTTATGCACTGATAAAACAAAAGCAAGATTAAGCAATAAGGAATACTGAGCATAACTAACTTTGCCCTGAATCAAAGAAGAGGTTACTAAGCCTTAGAATTGAAATTGTTCTTTCTTGGTAGCCTTTGGTTATGTGACTCAATGTACTGAATCAGCTGATCAGCTGGCTGCCTTTTCAGTTTTTTTTCCTGGGCAAAGAACTTAAGATTTCACCCAATATACCCAAACTTTTTTTTTTTTTTGCTAGTTGCTAATCACAATTTTGCCTGAACAGTGATTTTCTTTCCTTTTTTTTTTTAACAGTTCAGAAAATTTTAATTTTACTCACAATACAGCATGTGAATTAATAGATATTAACCACTCTAGTTTCTTACATCTCTCCTTTGGAAGAGAGTGTTTACTTAAATTATTACAAACAAATAAGTGAATTTTTTTCTTCCATCCTTTAAAACTTCATTTTGTTGCATCATATTTACCAAATACTTCAGGATGATGTTAAACTGCTTTTATTTTTGAAATTACATTGCTTCATGCATTATGTTGTTTTTTGTTGTTGTTGTTTTTCCCCCATCACTCAAATCACTCACCCTCATACTCCATCTGTTCCCAAACTTGACATGAGTGTGTAAATTACCTGAGCATGCAAAAGTCCCACCCAGACCTACTCAGTCAAAATGAGGATAGGATTTAGAGATCATTATTTTTTTAACTGGCTCGTGGGGCTTTTTGGAGGGTAGAAACTCTTGGCATAATCCTTTCAGTTTAGAAATGAGGAGATGGAAATTTCTACAAAATTTTAGTGAATTAAAATTGGCTATATTTATGTCATTTATTCATCAAAATAAGAACCAGATATCCTTATGTGTCTGTTCACATATTATAGCCTTTCATTTTTAAAAGTAACATTAGTTTATAGTACTCTGAAAATTCTGTGAGTATTTTCTCACCACACCCACCACCAGTTTACCAGTCACTATCCACTAGCAACTCATTGGCATCTTCTACCCTTTCTCTCCCATATACTTTACCTTCTGATTACCACTATTCTTTTGTCAGAGTATATGGACTTCAGTTTATATTGGTTTACTTTATGTTCCACAAATGAGTAAAACCATATACTCTTTGTCTTTCTCTCTGTGACTTCTCTTAGCATAATCCTCTCAAGGTCTCCTATGTTGCCACATATGGCAATGTATAGTCTTTTTATGGCTAGCTAGTATTCCTTGTGTGTGTCTGTATGTTTATATACATACCGAACAGTTTTTATCTATAGTTTAGCACCTGGATTGTTTCCAGTTCTGGTTATTTTAAATATTGCTATAGTGAACATGCGTCTTTGCAAATTAGTGTTCTCATATTCTTCAGGTAATTACCCACAAATGGGATTACTTAATCATATGTAGTACTATTTTTAATTTTTTGAGAAACCTCCATACTGTTTTACATAAATGGCTGTACCAATTTACATTCCCACCAATAGTACTTGAGGGTTCCTTTTTCCTCCACATCCTTACCAATTTCTATTACTTACTTGACATTTAATGATAACCAGTTTCATCAGTGTGAGATGAGATTTCATTGTGTATTTGATTTGCATTTCCCTAACTGTCAGCAAAGTAGCACTTTTTTTTTTAATATAATAGTTTATTTTTGCATCATTTTGTGCCTGTTTCCATCTCAGTTGTAATTTCCGTGGGCTTCTCATCACCAAATCACCTGTGTGCCATCACCACAGTCCAGTGCACTTCTTTCCCCCCGCTCTTCCTTCCCCTTTTTTAATCCCATTCCCCATAAAATGTCTCTGGTATATAGTTAGTCATTATTATTTTCCCCCCTGGTCCTTTATGCTCCTGCAATGAGTGAAACCATCTGTTATTTTTCCTTTTCTTTCTGGCTTATTTCGCTAATTATGATCCCTTCCAGCTCCATCCAAGTTGCAGCAAAATGCACGTGTTTATCTTTTTTGATGGCTAAGTAATATTCCATTGTGTATATGTACCACATCTTTTTAATCCAGTCATCTACTTTTGGGCATCTGGGTTAATTCCATGTCTTTCCTATTGTAAATAAAGCAGCAGTAAACATGGGGGAGTAGTACACTTTTTAATGAGTCTTTTAGTCAACTAATTTCTGGTGAAGCACCTATTTAGATCCTCTGCCCATTTTTTAATTGGGTTGTATTTTTGTTGTTGAATTGTACATGTTATTTTTGTATTCTGGGTATTTACACCTTATCTGATAATAGGGTTTGCAAATACCTTCTCTCATTTATTAGGCTGACTTTTCGTTTAATGATGGTTTCTTTCACTGTACAGAGCTTTTTAGTTTGATATAGTGCTGTTTTTTTTTTATTGCCTTGTGTTTCTCTTGCTTTTAGAAATGAATCCATAAAAACATAACTGTTGATAAAATTGCTCAGAATTTTTAGTCTATGTTTTTGTCTATGTGTTTTATGTATTGGGGTCTTACATTTCAAGTCTTAAATATATTTTGCAATGATTTTAGCTTAAGTTATAAGATAGAGGTCTAGTTTCATTATTTTACATGTGGTTGTCCAGATTTCCAGTGCCACTTATTAAAGAGTCTTTCCTTTTGTTACTGTGTTCTCTTGGCTCTTGTCATGAATCAGTTATTTCCATGTATGTGTGGTTTTTATTCTGTGCTGGTCTATTCTGTTGACTTGTGTGCCTGTTTCTATTTCAGTATCATACTATTTTGGTTACTGTAGTTTATAGTAAAACTTGAAGTCAGTATGCATGATAATTCCATTTTCATTCTTTTTCCTCAAGATTATCTTGGCTCTTTTGAGGTCTTTGCAGCTCCATACAAATTTTAAGATTTCTGTGAAGAATGATATTGGAATCTGAAGCAGATTGCATTTACTCTGTTTATTGCTTTAGGTTGAATGGCCATTTTAACATACTTCCAATCCTTCAGCATGGAATGTGTTTCCATTTCTTTGTCTGGAATGGTAGAGTTTCAGTACTTTTTCCACGAGTAAATTGCATAGAGCTGACAAAGCAAACTCATAGTTAATTTCACCTAAACTTTCCTTCTAGGAAAAGTAAAGAAGCTGTTCTTGAAAGCTATAAAATACGATTGAAAGAAATAAAAAAAGGAACAAAGAGTCTCAGTGTTGCTTCATATAAGATGAACATATCTTGATTTGTTGTTTCTAATAATTTTGAATTTTTTATAATAGTTTATTTTACATCATTTTGTGCATTTTTTCATCTCAGTTTTAATCCCCCTGGTGTTCCCATCACCAAATCACCCGAAATTATTTTTAAAGTGTTGGTAGAGCAGTACTAAGGTGTGGAAAACAAACATTATGGAAATTAATGTAATTCTTTTTGAAAGGCAACATAGCAGCATTAACCACACCTTAGCCAAAAAATGGTGCTATTCTAATCGAACAGTTCTGCTTCTAAGAATTCATTTTAAGGAGATAAGCAGAAAAGCAGTATGGTATAGTAATTAAAGGGTTTACTTAGTGGTCATAGAGATCTAGTTTGAATCCTTACTCCATCACCAATTTGTTCTGTGGCTTTGAGGCAGTTTCTTAGCCTAACCAAGACTTAAGATTTCTACTCATAAAAGGTTATAATTCCTGCTTCATTGAATGATATAAATTAAATGGGAAAATACAGATAAAATGGCTATCACAAGTGCTCATACTAAGCATGCAAAGCACTATTGGAAGTTTGATATATAAAAGTCCTTTTAAGATAATAAAATTCTAGAAACAGACTCAATCTCCCAAGTTTTGTATATATTAAAATCTATCAAAACCTGAGGTCTCTTTAATAAAAGTGTACTGATACTGTATTTTGGAATATTATTTGAAAAAATATATAGTTGATAGTATATAAAGCTAAATGGGAGCTGGGCCTAATATAATTTTTTATATATTACTAATATTGAATGAAATATTAAAGTGTTTGGAATAGTGTCTGACATAGTAAGAGCTTAAAAGATATTTATACACATGTATTTACACAGTGCTATTTTCTTGTATTTTCTGTGAGAGGCATGCATTAGTTTTTCTGGTCATAGGGAAAAGGTTAGAAAACAGAATATTTAATCATGTATGGTGCTGGAATTATAACAGACTTTAGTTTTATGTTTTAATACTTATGTACTAAGTATTAAAGATGCTTATGTGTCTATAAATTTGCATATTTAAGTAAATTTTAGATTCTTCTTAGAGTTTCAGGTGGGAGGAAAAGACTCACAGTTGGGCAGAGTTTATTATTACTAGCCAATTAAAGATTGGTATGTTGTCACCTTGCTCCATGAAAGAACACAGCCATCACAGATGGCTGATAGGACATGAAAAGATGGTCAGCCTCATTAGTTATTAGATAACTACAAATCAAAACCACTGTGGGTTGTTTTTTTTTTTTTTTTCACACTACCTATGATGATGAAAATGAAAAAGACAATAGTACTAAGCATTGGTATGAATAAGGAGAAATTGGAATCCTTATGCATTGTTGATTGGAATGTGAAATGGTACAAGCACTATGGGAAAGTTTGGCATTTGCTCAAAAATTAAACTTAAGAATTTCCACATATGACCCTGCAGTTCTACGCCTAAGTGTGTATATACCCATGAATCAAAAACATGTGTTCATATGAAAACTTATACAAGAATGCTAATAAAAGCATTATTCATAATAACCATAAACTAGTAATGATCCAATAGTCTATTACCTGAGGAGTGACTAAGTAAAAGGGAGTATTTATTATTTGACCATAAAAATGGAACAAAATCCTGATACATGTATAGCATAGATAAGCCTTCAAGCCATTATTCTAATTCAAAAGGTTACAGTAAGATCCCATTTAATTCAGAATAAGCAGTTTAGTGGGTGCCAGAGATTGTGGGGGAAAGCAATTAGAGATATTCCTAGTAGGTATAAGGGGTTGTTTGAGCCATGATAAAAATACTCTGAAATTAGATAGTGGTGATGGCTGCACAGTTCTGAATATAGTAAAGAGCAGCTCTTTTTCAACTTCAAAAATTGATTCTGAAATTCACCAAAAAGATTAAAACTTTAAGAATAACAGAAATAGTTGAAATAAAGGAAAAACAAGGTACACTATATTGCTATATATTTTAATCTAAGAAAAAAGTAAGACAGAGCTACTAGGCCCAATATGGATGAAATAATGAAACAGAATATAAAGCCCAGAAACAAATACTAATACATAATATATAAACATTTTGTTGACAAAAAATATGGAATTGCAGATAATTGTAGGAAGGTTTATTTTTAAAATAAGAGATACTGGTAAGATTAACTTCTTTAAAAAAGTAGTCAAGCACGGGACTAGGGTGGTGGCACAGGGGTGATCTGGTGATGAGAAACCCGCGGGGATTACAACCGAGATGGAAAAAAAAAATGTGCAAAATGATGTAAAAATAAACTTTGTAATAAAAAAATTTTTAAAAAAAGAAGCACAAAAAAAAAAGTAGTCAAGGCCCTCCCTGGTGGCACAGAGGGTTAAAGCCCAGCACTGACAATCTAAAGCCGCTTCCGCATGAGTTCAATTCCCGCCTGCCCCGGAGGTGACCACATGGTGTGACAGACCTCTCCTGACCCACCCCACCCGGTGACCACATGGTGTGACAGACCTCTCCTGACCCACCCCACCCGCTGCTCCCCTCAGCAGTATACTTCGTCGATCTGCCTGTTCTGTTCCCTACTGTCTCTGGTGAAGCCTCTCACCGCCCCTGAGCCTCTGGCCTGTACCCAGTTCTGTATGCACAAATAAATAAAGAATCTTTAAAAAAAAAAAAGTAATCAAGTTGAGGGCCCTCCCTGGTGGCGCAGTGGGTTAAAGCACAGCACTGAGAATCTAAAAGCCGTTTCCATGAGTTCGATTCCCGCCTGCCCCGGAGGTGACCACATGGCGTGGCAGACCTCTTCTGACCCACCCACTGTTCCCCTCAGTAGTGTACTTCATCCATCTGCCTGTTCTGCTCCCCACTCTGTCTCTGGTGAA